CATGTTTGATGGGACGGGGAATCGAACCCGCGACCCTCAGATTGCGAGTCGAGCGCCGTAACCACCTGGCCATGCCGGGCCTGACTGAGATTATCTCCCATGCGTGAAAAAACATTTCCCAGGCCAAATACTCGACAAATGGTTTTTATCTTCTTTCGTACGATACATTTTTTTTTGTAAAAAATAAAATCACAATTTTTTTTTATTCAGATGAGTACTTTATTTCTGATCGTAATAGTTCTGGTATCCTATTGAATTAGCTTTACGTTATAGTTTTTTTATTCTTATATCTAAATATAAATAAAATATATAAGAAATACAAACATATTTGAAAAAAAAGAAATAATCCATCGATAGACATATTAAAAAACTTGACCAGTTTTAGGTAACAAATTAATCATACCTACAAGAGTACCTATAATTAATCATATTTATAAGAAAACATTCCCGTCATCATCTGCTCATATACATTTAGGCCTAGTTCTGAATTTGAAATATTTTTTTACGGTAATAATAAATCTTTTTATTTTTCTATCACAGAAATTTGTTTTCTAGCTTGATATTTTTTTTTTACATCGTTCTCCATCAATATACAAAACACCACTAGAAAATTAAACTTTTAAATGAGTTTCGAAGGCTACTTTCATTAAGATTTTCATCCGATTCTTTATTGCGTACAATGGCTTAATCACAACAACATTATTTTATTCTTATCCTTTAGTGCTCGCATCTTTACTTTTCTGGAAAATAATGAACAAATAATATGTCTTGGTTGTCATTTTGTATTTCACTTTTTCAATGAGTGATCTCAAAATCCGCCTACGCACATTACACAGTTGTTAATTTCTTATCGTCTTTTGTTAGCTCTTCAAAAAATAGTTGACAGACAGTAAACAGTGAATTTGCCCTATTTATATCATATGAGCTTTTCACCTGGGAATATGGCACGTGTTTTATTGAAATTACTGCTGGTGGTTAACAAAAGCTGAATTTACTTTTGCAACTTATTGTAATACTGCCAACCCTACCATAGATATTGACAGTTTTTTTTTGCATTTTTCCTTTCTTTTTTATCTTTTTTTTTTCTGTGCAGAAAACAATGAAAAAAAAAAGAGATTGCGATCAACATTACTGTCCAATACTTATTTCAAAAAAGCCAATATATGTTATAATAATCAAGTTAGATTTCTTGTGCCTAATAGAAAAACTTTGTTCCAGTCCTTCTTTTTATTACAAATACTCTTGTATAAAAACTTATAAGATGAGATGAAACAAATGCTTTACCTTTCAGATTGTAAGCCTTTTAAGTTTTTGGAGAATCCTTTTTTGTTTATCTGGCACAAGGAAGACATTATTTCTATAAATTGTTTTCAGATTTTTGACAAATTTGATTTTTGGATGAATAATTTAAAATCGTTGTGTACTACTGTTGATTTTGTTTAAATTAATTTTCGTCCCCTTTGCTTTCTCGGTTTTAAGCAAACAGCATTACTAAATCTTCCTTATCATCAGAACCTCCGACTCTCTTCATAATATCATTGGTTCTTTGAGATCAAGATATTGGGTTTGCTGTGTTCCATGAATACTTGGTAACTGCTTGGATTTTTTTTTCTGGCTCAATCAATAATACATCACTTCCAGGTTCACAACCAGGCAAGTATTGGCTTCATTTAGATTCAACTCAGGTCGAAAGAATTCAGATTCTTGTATAAGTGTAATACGATAGCACGGCCGGTTTCTCCCTCAAGAATTGTGGTTTGTCTATAATTCCAAAGCATGATTTCTATATGATCTAAGAAGCCTAGCACTATCAACTTTTTCTTCAAACTATGACACGATACTCTCGATCGAGGATAAGGTTGTAAAAAAACGTAAAATTAAAGAAACAAAAATATTTCAGTTTATAACATTTGCTAACAGAAAAGTTTATATTCTACGTACAGCTAGTAAAGTTTATGTTTATGAGTGCATTTTGTAACATCATTAAAAGTTATCGCTGGCAGCTAGTCATTAAAACTTGTCCAAAGTAC